ATTAGGTTTGAATTATGTGAAGTTGAATCGAGCTTAGTTATTACGGATAAACATGGAGGTGACGTTAGGAGATTAATGGAAACTATTATGAAAATAGTTTAGTAGGTTGTTAATGTTGGATTGAAATATGATTGTTAGGTGTGCATGGTGTATGTATTAGTTTATGTTGAATGATATGCATGATGTGTTTATGGATCTTGACCTTGCATTTGTGAATGTGCTAATGTGTTGAAATTTTTTCCTTATAGAGTTAAGGTGCACAAGGTGGAATGGCCAAGGCTAATTTGTGACACGTTCAAGGCAAATCATTAAAGACTTGGAGGCACAAAGGGAGATATATGAAGATGTTTAAGCAAGTAGGATAGTATAGTGAGTTGACCTTGGTCAACTATTTGACCAAAAAGTCAACAGTTGACCAAAAGTCATCTCTAGGAAACATGTGTTGTTTTGTGTAATTGTTTTTTGTAATTTGGATTCGCAATGTAAAATGGATGTTCTTAAAATGAAAAATGGCTTTTGAATGATGTAATGCAACTTGTGTTTCAAGAAATAATGTTTTTCCCTCCAAAATTGAGCATTTGAACTTGATTTTGTGTTAATCTTTGAATAAATCTTGACCCTTGAAATTGAACATGAATCTTGAATCTTGTATGAACTGCAATGTCTTGTCTTGCATCTAGACCAAAAAACTAATGAACTAGTGTATTGAATAGGCTCATAAAGAGATTAGTCAGTCAAAGTGAATCTCTCATAGTTGCCCAAATAAACTTGTAATTCACAATCAAATCCAATGTTATGATATAGTCTACATTATCCGCAAGTTTCAAAGATCAAAATTAAGGTTCCAATGCTTTGAATCCAAGAGAAGTGATTATCATGAATCAAATGTAGCACCAAGATACCTTAGTCTTGATCCTTAAGAACACAATACAAAGGGATAGTATTGAAATAATGTCAAAATTATAAACTCTCTTTAAAGAATAAAAATACCAAGTTAATTTAAAAAAAGTTCTCAATCATAATAACAAATATACAACTCGTATATGTTAAATTAAATATTTTATTCTTCAGAATCTACACAAAATTGGTTGATATATAACAAATATACATTTTTAAGAATAAATCTATGATAATAAACATAAAATTTTCAAAATCAACTAATTATATTCTCCAATAGACCTCATATATTTTGTTCAAGGGATAATTATAAATAATGTACTAAACACTCTTTATATATATTTTTGTGATAGATGTTTTAATAAGAAATATCAGTATACTTTTTTATGTATTTAACTCAGATTTTATTTCAATATTTAGGCCCGTTTGCTTGGTTTTTTTAATGTTTTTTTTATAGTCTAACATAATTTTGTGTGAAAAAAATTTACAAAGAAACTTCTAATAAAAGTTTCAAATGAAAATTTAATTTGAATAGTTGTTATTTTAGATATTTTATTATTATATTAAAAAATATTTAATATCAAAATTTAAAAAATCACTTAATTTTGAAGTTATTTCAAATATATTTTTAAAAAAATCATTTTTGAGATAACTTTTTGAAAAAGTTGTAATTTCGACTATCTTTTAATCTTCAATAATGTATGTATATGTTATAGGATGTCAAAAATAGTATTTTATTTTATTTTAAATAAATATAAAAAAAATTGTAATATCTTAAAAAATGATATTTAAAATCTATTTTTAACATTACAAAAACAAATCCATTTTTTTAAAGCTGAAATAAACATAACCATAGTATAATTGTCTGTTTTTTTTATAAGCAATAATATATTAAAGAGATTAAGAAAATCTTTGAACAACAAGAGTACAAACAAAGCCTAATACAAGACTGTTACATAAAATCGAACGGAAATTTAAACCAATCGTACAAACTACAATGATTACTATCCTGTCTACCTAATATCAACCAATTCCACGAGATAACTTTAATATCAGTTACAATGTCCTAAACGTCAATAGAAGCATTTTTTAAAATAATGTTATTTCTAGCCCTACATAAACTCCAGCAAGAAATGAACCAAATAGAGTTGATCTTGTTCTCTTTGCAGCGGCCCAGAAATCTCGATTTCCAGACCTTCGCATGAAGACTACAACAATCCTCCGAAGTATTCTCTATATCCATCCACTCGCAAATCCTATTCCATACCAACGAAGATTTAGAGCACGAGAAGAAAAGATGTGAAACGTCCTCTTAGCTTGACGAACAGAACGCACAATCCAAGTTTTGGGAATAGTCAATCACCCTTCTTTTCATCAAATTGGATCTGGTAGGTAGCCTATCAAGCGCCAGCCTCCAAATAAAAGTTTGGACTTTTGCCGGTAACACCGTTTTCCAAAGGATCTCCAGAAGAGCAGCACTATCATTTCCAATAATATAAACAGAAGCAGAAGAGGAAGAGGATGAACCAGTATAGAAAGATCTAACCTTATACGAAAGAGAATCATGAAGAAGCCATTTCCAATTATCGACGACATTGATGTTGGCTGCCACCTGATCCAACAAAACACTACAATCTGTCCAATCTGGTTCGAAATTGGATCCCTCGTCTATCAACGATTCTCTAACTTTCCAAACCCACTGACCATCCTCCTAAAAACCCATCTCGTTGACTGTTGAAACTTTCCTGGAACAGGCCTGAAACAACCGCTGAAACCTACTTTTAAGCGGAAGATCTCCAATCCAATTTGATTGCCAAAACGCCGTATTGTGACCTTCTTCAATAGTGCAAGCCATAAACTTGTAGATGTCCACATTGAAGTCGCAGGTTGAACTTGACATAATATCCTTCATCCAAAGAGAGTCTAATTTCAAGTTACCGACGTCAGCGAAAGTTTGCACCTTCATGCTCAAGTTACTGTATCTGAGATTCAACGTTTTTCTCCAAATTTTATTTCCACCGCTTAGAAATCTCCACATCCATTTTGCTATAAGAGCACAATTAAAACGGCCTATGTGCTTAATGCCCAGGCCTCCGTATTCCTTCGGCTTACAGATGGAGTTCCATGATATCCAAGAAATGAACTTTTTACTAGAGTTCCCAGCCTAGAGGAAGCGCCTTTAGATTGCAATAATATCGTTCATGATTTTCTTAGGAGCCTTGAAGAAAGCCAAGTAATTAATAGGCAAGTTAGCTAAAACCGAGTTTATGAGGGATACTCTACCTCCCATTAACAGATTTCTCCCAGTCCAATTTGATAGTTTACTCCTCATACGAGATAGAACTGGATTCCAAAAAGAATGTCGACGATGATTTCCTCCTACCTGGAGATCGAGAAAACTGAACGGCAGCCTGTCAGATTTACAGTGCAGAAATTCTTCAGCTCCAGCAAGGAAAGCAGGGTCTACTCCTATCCCGTATAGATAGCTTTTAGAAAAATTAATTTTCAAACCAGAAATCATTTCGAACGCGCGCAGGACAGCCTTGAAAGCCCATATATTCATAACCGAACCATCTCCTATAAGAAGAGTGTCATCCGCAAACTAAAGCATGCTCTCAGAACTTTGATCATTGATCTTGAATTCTGTTAACAAGTTACCGGCAGTTGCGGCTCTGACTAAACAAGATAATCCCTCTGCAACTATGGCAAACAGAAACGGAGCCAAAGGATCCCTCTGCTTCAGACCCCTTCCAACCTTGAAATCCTTCGAAGAACTTCTGTTAATAAGAATCGAAACGTAACTCTTGAACACTGATCCACTAATCCACTTTAACCAATTAGGACCAAAATCCATCTTGACAAGCATTTCATCTAGGTAAATCCAGTCGACACAGTCGTAGGCTTTAGCGAAGTCAACTTTGAAAAACAGACATTCCTTTTTAAATCTCTTAGCATAATCTGCTATTTCATTGGCCAGCGGAACCCCATCGTAAATTTGCCGACTCGGGATGAAAGCTTGGAGATACAGCTAATAAGAGAAATTGGCCTGAAATCTTCAAATTGTTGTGGATTGGAGATCTTCGGAACCAACGAAATGAAAGAGGACGCAAACATCTTAGGGAGAACTCTTGTCTTGAAGAAATCCAAAATGCAATTCGAGAAGTCTTAACCTACTATTTCCCAACATAATTTTATGAATTTAAAATTAAATCCATCGACACCGGGACATTTGTTACCCACACAACTGAAAACATCCTTTCTAACATCAGAGGTGCTAAAATCTGTTTCCAAAAACAGTTTGTCTTCCTCATCAAGATAGGCAGCCAAAACCAAATCACTTCTGAATTTTGTCGAGTTTGATTGCCTGTATTTGTCCTTAATGAACTTCATCGCTTCATCCTTAATATTCTCAGGTTCTTCAATAGTCCTGCCTCCCACTCTAACAGCTGAGAGATGATTCAACCTATTCATGGATTTAAGGGAGTCATGAAAAAATTTGGTATTAAGATCCCCATTTTGGAGCCAACTAACCCGAGATTTTTGGGCTATCATGCTTTCTTTGATCCGCATATTCTTCCATATTTCCTCCTGGTATCGCAGTTTCTCTCTGTCCAGATCAGTAGATTGCAGATTAGACTCCTCATCTGATTCTAGTTCCAGCTTGTTGAACTTAGAGATATTATGCTCTATGTTCAAATTCAGCCAACCAAACACTTTGAGATTCCATATCCTAAGGTCTGATTTAAGAGCTTGAAATTTCTTAGAAAGGATGCTGCAGAAAGAACCTGTAAATTGGTAAGAGCGCCACAATTTCATAACGAACGGGATGAAATCCTTGTGGTAGAACCAACAGTTGAAAGTCCTAAAAGATTTTGGTCCCCAATTGATGAAATTGGACTTCAACCACACCAGTCGATGATCCGATATGTCTCTATCCCCCGCCACTTGATTCTTCAGAGTAAACAAAGATATAACCCTATCATCAACCAAAACTCTATCCAGCCTACTTTTGTTCTTACCGTTAGAGTTGAACCAAGTGAAACGGCTTCCAAACACCGGTAAATCCACCGAATTCATTTCCTTAATGAAATCACATAACTCCTTTATATCCCAGTTGTTATAACACTTAGGCCCTTCCTTTCCTCCCTATTTTTCACCGCATTAAAATCCCATCCCACGATCCAACCAATGTCAGGGTAATTGTTCTTAATTTTAATCAAATCTCTCCAAAGCTTCCTCTTATCAACTGATCCACAAAGAGCGTAAACGTTGATCACCATCAACCTATGGTTATTCCAAACAAAGTTTAGACCTAAGAATCCTTTCCCATTAAAACTAAAACAAGCAGAGATTCTGACAGTATTCCACATGGTTAGAATTCCACCAGAGTTCCCAACGGAGTTCTGAGCTGACCAATCCAAATCAAAATTCCTCCACATGCTGAAAACTATACCATCCTCCATCTTGATAACCTTGGTTTCCTGAATAAGGAAAATATCGGCATTTCCTCTCTGAATAATTTGAGTTAATCTCCTTCTCTTGATGGAACTACAACAGCCTCTAACATTGAAAGAAATTAAATTCATGGACCAATTGTAGCTACATCCTTCTTGCCTAGACTAGCATCCTTATCTGCGTTATCCAAAATCCTCAGAGTTCGCCCAATAACTTCTTCATCTTTGCCCTGAATACCCAGAACTTTAAGAAAATCACCCAATTTAGATGGAACATTAACAATGGCCCTTCTACATCTCGAGTTACCCCTCTCAACGTTAGTGTCGGTGATCGATTCGCAAGACAATATAGCTGAACTAGATTAAGAAGTTTCTTTAGACAATTTTTTCTTCATACTATCCTCCCTAGTTTTCCCTTTCGACACAGGTCTAAGGTTCTCCTTGGGATCCGTGAGAAGAAGAGTGGAAAAATAAGAGGGGGTGTATGGTATTTTAATGCAATTATAAACCTCATGAAGGCCCACTAATTGGATGAGGCAGGCCCAGGTCTACCACCAATCCCCCATCAAGACTGGGTACCTCGATAACTGCTTTGGACTGATTAAGTTCTAGGTCAGCCAGAAAGTTATATGGTTCAGTTCCTTCTGAACTAAACAGAGCGACTGAAACCTTATGATTTTTCCTTCTTAACCCATTACCTTCCACACTAGACCCTAAGCTATACCCAACAACTGATACAATGTCTGACACTGAGAAGTCACCATCTTCCTTTTGGACATCAGTATTGGGAGCTCTGGCTTCTGTCTCTGAGAACAAGGATTTGAGATCTTCACTTTCTTCCTCTTCAGGTATCTCCCACGCGCCCTCTACGTCTGAAGGGTTTGAGGAGTCAAATTCATCTGAATCTATCACCTCATCTTCTTCACCAAACAAAGGGTCTCCACTCCCACACGAAAGGTCTTTTGTGATTGAAATTAAAAAGGTGTGATTGTTCACTTCAATGTCAACCAAGAAATTCAGAATAATCCTGAGTCTTGTATTAATAAGAAATCTCGCTATGTCCAATTTCTCTTTGTTCCTCGACTTCTCATCACATTTGACAAACGATCCCAGACTGGAAGAAATCTGCCTGAAATTTTTCTCACTCAAGGCGACACAAGGTAGACCATAGCAATATACCCACACCATCCTATCCCTGTCAATTTCCTCCATTTGCCACTTGCGGATGTCTCTGAACTAGATATTTAGCCATACCCTAGCTTCCTTGATAAAACCTTCTAAGTCTCCTCCTGATGTGTCTTCCATCAAACACAATGAAGCTCCCAATGGAGTAACCTTAATGTTAAAGTAACCTTCTTCAAAAATTAACTTCTGAATGTTGAAAGCATTTCCATCCTTCATGACTTCACCCACTCTCATACGATTCAACCTCCTTGACCATTCATCATCCAGCTCAAGTTTTGTGCATTGACCTCCTACCTTGGCCCTATCAACAAACTTAGGGTAATCTCCTCTTACCACTTTGGCAAAGGACCTAACCTGGATATTAGGTTTCAAGAAGTTCCTGGTACAACCAGTTTGGATGTTACTCCTCAAATTTTCACAATCAGGAAGGTGCCTTTTGTTCTTCTCACTAACAGGAAGATGCCTTTTGTTCTCTTTACTAAACTTAGGTATATTGACGTAGATTTTTTTGCCTTCCAAGACAATGCTATCAAGGTTACAGGCCAGGATTCTTGGAACATGAACTTTCTGAAATTTGGCGAAACCGAATCTATTACCTCGCTTATCTCTCTTAGCAGAAATAAAAACTTCTGATATGACTCCATAGACCTTGAAGACCTCAAACAGATCTTTGGCATTCATGTTTTCAAAAAACTCAGTGACAAAAAATGAAGTTGTGATTTCACCAGAAGAAGCTCATTTTCCTTTGTTCTTCTTCCAAACTAAAAAACTTCCGCTTCTAACCTTTCTACCGGAAACCCTTTCCCAACTCATGGTAACTCCACTGTCTCGATCCAAATAAAAACCAAAAAATTACCAAGGCCCCTAAACTCGAAAGCTAGGAATTTAAGCCGAAGATAATCTCCTAATCTTCGCTGAATCGAAGACAGCAGCTTTGAATTGACGAAAATCTTAAAAAGAATCGCAAAAATTAGGTTTAGGGTTAAGGAATTGAAAATTTTACTATAGCTATTCTTCATAAACAGAAACGTTAATCATCAAAAATGTCGTATAAAAAATCATCTAACAATCTCATTTCCCATTAGTATAATTGTCTGTTAATAATTTCTTCTTCTATGTATACTAGCTTAAGAGAACTCTATTATTTAGAATATACGTTTTAAATTTATAAAGGTGATTTTATGATCTTATTTACATAGCTGGATACATATATAGAAATATTTTATAAAGTCAATGAATAATAATTAATAATTTATTTTATAGTGAACATATGCAATATATCTTTATAAAAAATAATTTAAAATACAACATTACGAGAAAGGTTGTAGTAGATATATTTGTCATTGATATTTATAAATTAATAATTTTAATAAATTAATTTTATTTTATTTTACTCAATACTAACATTTTGTTTTTTATTATAAATATAAAAATATTATAATTAATTAGAAGAAAAATAAAAATGATGGGTCAGATTTGTACGTGTCTCTAAAATTATTAATATGTTTAGTAAAAGTGATTTAATTGAATTAATTAAAATTACTATTAAAAATTAAGTAATGAAATTTGAAATAATTGATTGTTGTAATAAATTTTCTAAAATAAAAAAGTAATAATTAGAATGTGTATTGAAAAAATAAAAGTGATTATATTCGCTTAATTTCAAAATTAATTGAAAAACTAAAAATTAATACTTATTGTGATTTTAAAAAAATAACAATCAATATATTAAATGAGAGTGATTTTAAATGAGAGATGTGAGAAACAAACAACAACTATTAAATTAAATTATTTATAAGAAAGATAAATTATATTTTAATAAGAGAGAGAAATTAATAGATACATTAAAAAATAAGGTTAATCAAAACTTTTTAATTGGTCTAATAGTTATTGTTTATTCCTCTCATCTCTTATTTTAAATTTTTTTCTCAATCGCACATTTAGTAATAATAGAATCTAAATCTGTTTTTTATTGTAGAATAGAGTAACCTTATTTTGAAAATTTTATATTTATTATTATAGATTTGCTATGAAAAATAGAGTTAATTTAAAATATATGTTTTCTCCTTTGGGCCTGAACAATCATATTTTTTTTATTATGAATAAAATTAAAATCTAATATATATATATATATATATATATATATATATATATATATATATATATATATATATATATATATATATATATATATATATATATATATATATATATATATATTAAAACATTAATGTATAATAATTGATAATTTTATTTTATAGTAAAATATACAATATATTCTTAGAATATAATAAATTTATGCAGCTGAATATATATATATATATATATATATATATATATATATATATATATATATATATATATATATATATATATATATATATATATATATATATATATATATATTTTATATATTTATATATTACAACATTAATGTATAATAATTGATAATTTTATTTTATAGTAAAAATATGCAATATATTCTTAACAAAAATAATGCATAATTTTATGTAATGATAATGGTTATAGTAGTTACTGATATTTCTCTTTCGATATTTATAAATTAATAATTTTTCTTTAAAAAAAACATAATTTAATTTTAATACTAGCATTTAGTTTTTTATTTTAAAAAAATAAGACAAATAAAAATGACTCCTCAGATTTGTGTCTTCAAGATTATTATCTGCTCTAGTAAAAGTGATTTAATTCACTTAATTATAATTTCTAAAAAAAATATGTAATGAAATTTTAAATAATTGATTGGTGATAAATTTTCTAAAAACACATAAGAAATGAAATTTGATTTGATTTGCTTTATTTTAAAAGTGATTTGATTTGCTTATTTTAAAAAAGAAAATCATTAAAATGTATATTAATAAATAAAAGTGATTTGATTTGCTTAATTGCAATTCTAAAAACACATAAGAAATGAAATTTGAAATGCTTAATTGCTGCGATAACTCTAGAATTTTAATCACTCTGAATTTTGAAAATGGCTAACTCATGGCATGCTATACTCTTTGTTGTATTTTTATTTTGTCTCCATTATACTTCAGCTTTAGACGAAACAGAAAGTATTGTTTCTATACAAACTGAAGTGCCTGAATCATCATCAGTGCATTATAATTGTGGCTTAGCAGGATCCTTTGTGGGAACTTCAGGATCTACATCTTTCATCAATGTTAACTTTTCCTCTAATCATGCATGTTTGGCTGTATGGAACAATTTACATTGTACGTTCAATGCACGAGATGTTGGATATGATCAAAATCAAAATTTTGTTTTTTGGTCAGTAAGATCAGACGGTTTTTATCATAGTTGGGATAAGAAAACATGGGTAAAAAGAGCTGATTGGTCTCAATAGTGAAGAATATAGTGTTATAAGTTTTTATATGATAATAATATTTTAAATTTTAAGTTTTTCTTATAATTTAATTATATTATGGTTTTGGTTAGATTCCTGTATAATTGTTTTAATTTTTTCGCTTCTTATTTCATGGTTAAGTTGAAATTTATAAATATTGTTTAGCTAGTGTTTGAGACCATGATTATTCATTGTCTCTAGCATTGCAGGTCAGTCCTCTCATGATTAAGTTGAAATTTATAAATATTGTTTAGTTAGTGTTTAGCTAGTGTTTGAGACCATGATTATCGTTCATACTTTATAGCAAACTTAATTATTTAAAATAGAAATTTGAAACAAAAGGAAAATTCTCGTTATAACTTGTTATTTAGATAATCTTCGTGTCTCAAATCCTAAATAATTCTATTTATTGTGGGTCTGCCATAACATCCTTGACAATTGCCCTAAAGAAATTATATTCATTTTTGATACTTCTCAGCACACGAGTACTCTCATCCTTAACAAATAGCGAGTTTGTTATTTCCTCTACGATTTAGAGAAGGATCCAAGTCTATGTGAAAAGTTTCGAATTCAAATTTAACTC